TAATAATAATAATAATAATAATAATAATAATAATAATAATAATAATATATTTCTGCCCAGTCATTTTCTAAATTCACCAACATAGCCTGAGTAAAAGGGGAGAGGGGATGTAAATCTTAGACTCAGTATAGGGATTTTTGTCTGTCATTGACATTCTATATAAAAGGGAAAGTCTGAAAGAGATTTTTAAAGATGTGTAAAAGATTTGTTTTATTTTTGGCTTCACATCAGCATTACCTTTAAGAAATACACCCTAGTAACTAAAATATTCATGAAATATTTGGTGAGAAAGTGATGGTCAACTTCTTCAGCTGTTCTTTACTCCTCCAAGTCTATTGGGCAAATTGACTGTATCAGCTGTAATATGCTGTGATCTATGCTTATATATGGAATTGATATTATAGTTCACCATCCTGTGTGATAGTCTTTGAGCCTTAATGAGACACAAATAGTCTAAGAAAATGATTTGTGTTAATTGATATAATTTTGTCATTGGCCAGACTACACAGTAAGTGCTGGATTATCTCCAAGAGTTTCACATAAAAAGCTCCATGAGTTGCAATACATATCTTGCATAGGCTCCTTAGCATGAACAAGAAAAAACAGATAGAAAGTCTTCCCTTTGATTTGAAGGAGCAAGCCAAACAAACAACCCATGTTCTTGAAAATTATATTCTGCATTAAGTCCCCATGGTTGTTTTTTAAAATCCCCTCGATTTTAATAGCAATAAAGAATGTTATACATTTAGCAATTACAGCCTGAATTGGATTACCGTCTCTTCCTAGCTATATCCACATGCTTGAAGAAAGAGGTCTGTACATGCATGAAAGCCAGCATTGCATAATATTATAATACTGGACATGGTAAGAGAGAGGGAGAAATTTTCAGTGAGGCATGAGGCTTGCCTAAATATCCCTGTACAATATAGTCACTCCTTTTCAGCTGAATTATACTGTACAGAAGCAAAAATGATAATAGAATAAGAAACATCTAAAATGTTTTGAGCAACTCAGAGGAAGGCTAAGACATAAAGCAATTTATTTTTATTTATCCAGGATTCCAAAAGGATGGTGGTTTTTTTTGTAAACAAACATTTTATTGTATCAATACTTTTAAAGGTACCAAGACTCTAGTAGTTCATGGCCAGAATGAATGTGATATCCCAACCCAGCTTCCAGTCCATGAAGACACCCAGTTTGAAGCTCTTTTAAAGGTTGGCAAATTATTAAAATAATTTTGACAAAAAAAGTTGTGTTGGCTGCATTTTCCAGTCTTCCAGTATTAAAGCTCCTTCAGTAACCTCCTTAGATTGTGGGAGAAAAATTGATCTGGAATAATATGCAGTCCTGAGGTCCAGTACCTATTTATGAATTATGTCTTTACAGAATTATCTATTGAAAGCCTCATTTAGCAGCTTTTTTACATCTTAATATGTGAAAAGGTCATACATGTATTTCTCCTATAATATTCATCTTACAAATTACCTCAGATACACAGTAAACAAGGCAATTATATGGGTGACCTGTCATCAGTGACTTTGCTGAACATTTAACAGTTAATTAGTTACTGGACTTTCAATTACCCAACAGGCTCATTTCCATAGGACTACTATATGAAATAAGCATATTATATCACTTTCAGTTGTGATTACCCTAATTCAAGATGACAGTGGATTTAAAAAATCCTGTTACAATCATAAGTGGTATCACTAATCAGCTAAAAAATGCCTTAGTAGCAGTGCAAGGCTTGACAGCTTATTTTTATTATTTTTCATCTTTATAGGCAGGGAACAGAGATATAGCCACAATTACCCCAGGAAAATACTTTTAAAATAAATATCTTTTTAAATTGAAGAACATGTGATCAACCAATCAACCAATATTACCTTTTGTTTATGTCTTTATGTGTTAGGAGTGTCTGGAATTTTTTAACATACCTGAATCCCAGTCTTCCAACTACTTTTTAATGGATAAGCGGTGGAATCTTATTCATTATAATAAGGTGAGATAGTTTTATATTCTCATGTTACTTATTAATTGTAATTGAAAATCTTATCAACAAGTGACATTTTGGATACACTAATATGAAAGTTTAATATAATCTAATAATAATTTGTATGGGTCCTGAAAGTGTGGGTGCTCCAATACTGGGAGTTTTTAAGAAGAGACTGGACAACCATTTGTCTGAAATGGTATACAGTTTCCAACCTCAGCGGGGGATTGGGCTAGAAGACCTCCAAAATTCTTCCCGATTCTTGTTCTGTTCTGTTCTGTCTACTGGAAGTAAGCTCCATTGGACTCATGGGTGGTTATGTCTGACAATGCATAAAACACTCTGAAAATATACTTATTTTATTTATTTATTTATTTATTTTCATGTATTTTCAAAATTTGTGTGTTGTTTCAGTCATAGACTCTAAGTGGCTTACAGGGCAACAATAATGCAAGAATAGGAAACGATGACGAAACTAGCAGATTAGTGATTAATATTAGAAAAGGTAAAACCCTCTGATAAAAACTTACTGGGTAATCTTCTTATATGTTGGAAATAACACTTATTTCCCAAAATACTTGTGGAATAGCAGTGTTTCAGTTGTCCTCCCAAATATTATAAGGGAATGAACTCCCCCAATTTCAAAAATGGGGCTAGAGAAGGATTACCACAGAAATGTATACTGACTTGCAACATCATATCATTTGGTTTGCATTGAATGAGCATATTCTCTATTGGATTTTGAAAGTACCCAAGCCCAAACCATATCTAGCTTTATAGGTAATAATCAGCAGATTTTTGTTTGTTTGTTTAAATAATTAATATAATCTCCCATCTCATAGCAGGGACCATGATGGCCCCAGAAGGCTTCTGGGAAATTTTAATAGGTCTGTGTTGTGTATAGAATTGGTTACTAGAAACTGATCTCCCAGTGACAAAGGATTGCTAGGAATTCCTTGCTCCACCACATCTAATACTAATTGTTTGAAAATAAATGCTGGGTCCATGGAGTAGAGCCTTTGATGATCTGAGAGTAAGCCTATGACTGTCATGGCAGCTATGAAATTCTAGTTCAACTCTAAATTGCTTATCTCTGGTCATCTGGGTTGGATGGCAGAGCAGATTTTATATATTCCTATTATGTTTCTACTTACTCTCTTATTCCAAACTTTAAAAAGCTCAAATTACTACATTCTTTGTTGGTAAGAAAGTTGTTTCAGACATCTAATTATTTTGATCTTTTATATCTTTATATCTTTAGGATATGATGACCAAAACCATATACAATATTCCAAATATAATTTCACCACAGATAATAAGAGCGTTATTATATTTGCAGTTCTATTTTCAGCTGCTTTCCCAATGGTTCCAAGCATAAAACTGTCTTTTTTAAACACCCTTTCTTGATCAATCACTAGTAATTCAGACCCCATTCCTATTTCAATGAAGCTTGGATATTTTTGCTAATATGCATAATTCTACAATGAATTGTCTGTCATTGCTTCACTCTGGAGAAGTTCTTGAGAGGGTTCTCACGGTCTCTTTTGTATTTCACCACTATAAATACTATGGTATTATCAACAAATGCAGTACGCTACTCAGGTCTCACTTTTTATACCATTTCTATATTGGGGGAGGGGGAACCCATAGATTAAACTATAGAATAACAGATTTGGAAGGGACCTTGGAAGACTTCTAGTCCAATCCCTTGCTTTAGCAGGAGTCCCTATACCATTTCAGACAAATTGCTGTCCCGCAGGGGTGGGTATCAGCCAGTTCGCACCAGTTCGAGCGAACCAGATGTTAATTTTACAACCAGTTCTGTGAATCGGTAGTTCCGACAACCGACTGGCCCTCGTCACCCCACCCCATCCTCCCAGGAGTCTCCACGCAGATCGTTTTGGATCCCAGGTAAGTGCAGGGGGTGCATGGAGCCTGGGGAGGTGGAAAACAGCCCCCCCCCAGAGGCCTGTGAAGGGCGAAAATGGGCCTATTTCGGGCCTCCGGAGCCTGGGGAGGTGGAAAATGGGCCCCCCACAGCCCATTTTTACTCCCAGGATGGTGGAGGAGGCCGACTAGGCCACACCCACCATAGCCATACCCACCCAGCAACCAGGCAGAGAACTGGTTGTTAAATTATTTGAAGCCCGCCACTGCTGTCCAGTCTCTTCTTAAAAGACTCCAGTGTTGAAGCACCCATAACTTCTGAAGGCTAAACCATTTTACTGGTTGATTGTTCTCACTGTTAGGAAATTTCTCCTTAATTCTAAGTTGCTTCTCTCCTTGTTTAGTTTCCACCCATTGTCTTGCCTTTTGGTGCTTTGAAAAACAGGCTGACCCCCTCTTCTTTGTGGCAGCCCCTCAAATATTGAAACACTTCTATCATGTCTCCACCAGTTTTTCTTTTCACTAGGGTAGACATACCCAATTCTTGCAACTATTCTTCATATGTTTTAGACTCCAGGGCCCCAATTATCTTTGTCGCTCTTCTCTGCACTCTTTCCAGAATCTCAACATCTTTTTTATATTATGGTGACCAAAACTGGATACAGTATCCCAAGTGTGATCTTACTAAGGCATTATAAAGCAGTACTAATACTTGGCATGATCTCGATTCTATCCTTCTATTAATGCAGCCTAGGATTGTATTGACCTTTTTGGTAGCTGTTGCACACGGCTGGCTCATATTTAAGGGATTGTCCACTAGGAGTCCAAGATCTCTCTTGTAGTTACTGCTATTGAGCCAGGTTTCACCTAATCTTATACAGTTGGTTGACACCCCCCTTTTTTTCTTTTCTTTTCTTTTCTTTTTTTCCTTTTCTTTTCTTTTCTTTTCTTTTCTTTTCTTTTCTTGCCAAAGTACTTTTCTCTACATTGAATTTCATTTTGTTAGATAGGGCTCAATGTTCAAGTCTGTCAAGATCCATCTGGATTTTGAGCCTGTCTTCTAGGGCAGGGGTCCCCAACCACCGGGCCGCGGACCAGGACCGGTCCCGGTCCATGGATCATTTGGTACCGGGCCGCAAAGAAAATAAAAATAAAATAAAAATGGCGGCTTTCTTCGCCTTAGGTGAATGCTGCTGGGATCAGGGATCAAGGACACAAATGAAAGAAGGGGAGGGAGGAAGCAACCAAAGCCTCTCCTGCTCTCCGGCTCAGCGGCTTCGGTTTCCTCCCGCCTCGTTCCTCTCTCAGTCGCTCTCTCGCTCCTCCACCAGCCCAGGAAGAAACTGCTTCAAAGAAGCTGGCAGGGTGGCTTTTCCTGTCGGCGCAGCTCCTCCGAAGCGCCCGTTCACCCCCACCCCGCCGCCCGCGGTTCAATCCAGTGCTCCGTTCTGCCTGCCTGCCTGCCTTCGTTTCTGGTTGTTTAGGAGTAGCTTTGGCTGAGAATAATAACTATTCGCCTCTTTTACTCAGCTGAAGCTGCTCCGAAACAACCAGAAACGAAGGCAGGCAGGCAGGCAGGCAGAACGGAGCACTGGATTGAACCGCGGGCGGCGGGGTGGGGGTGAACGGGTGCTTCGGAGGAGCTGCGCCGACAGGAAAAGCCACCCTGCCGGCTTCTTTGAAGCAGTTTCTTCCTGGGCTGGTGGAGGAGCGAGAAAGAGCGACTGAGAGAGGAACGAGGCAGACACCTGAGGGATAAGGCGGAGGGAGGGAGGGAGACACCTGAGGGATGAGGCTGAGGGAGGCAGGGCTGAGAGGCGGGGCTTCTCAGCCATCCTGCAGGGACTTGTCCTGAGCCGCAGAGACAGCCACGGGCCGCCGCCGCCGCCCAGCGCTCAGTTTTGAAGGCGCTCCTCAGCCCGGCGCAGTTCCTGAATCTGCAGCTGAAACCCTCCGTTTTAAATGTCCCAATAGAAGAGAATATCTGTCGCTCAGGGTTGCAATGAGGAGGCATTGGCGCTCCCTCAACTTGGTGGTTTGCTGGCAGACGTTTTATTACCTGACTAGGTAACAACATCAGATGTTATCTTGTCAGGTAATGAAACGTCTGCAAGCAAACCACCAAACTCGGACTCCTCCCCCTCCCCCCCTCCTTGAAAAAGTGTCTCCCCCCCCTCCTTGAAAAAGTGTTTCTGCGTGAAACTGGTCCCTGGTACAAAAAAGGTTGGGGACCACTGTTCTAGGGTTTGGCTATTCCTGCCAGTTTAATCCCATCACAATATTGATCCTTGGGAGTTCACACAATGCATATATCACCAGTATGAAAGCTGACAATTTCTTCTTTTTTTCTCTTTCCTGTTTCTTAACCAATTATCAACCTATGTAAAAGAGAAACCCAGAACAGAGAAATTTTTCTCCTCTACTATATCATTATGACTGAAAAGTATGACTATTTCTGAAAATGCAATTGCTAATGTGCTATAATTCATTTATAAAATAAAGGCTTTTTAAAATTATCCCACAGACCTATGTCCGTGATATTTACCCATTTCGTAGATCAGTATCTCCACAACTGAATCTGGTACACATGCATCCAGAAAGGGGGCAAGAACTCATTCAAAAACAGGTATGTTTATAGTAAACATCACAATGATGCATCCTCACTAGATTATCACATTGGTGTATGATTTGGAATGGTCTAAAAGATATTTTATGGTGCAGAAGCCACAAGCTTGTTCATTTCTATACTTTTGGCGCAAGATATTGTAAATATACTATAGCTATGACAAAAATATTTGAATTGAATAGGGTATTGTCTTATCATGAAACTGGGATTCCTAGACGTAGCTTCCTGGGACATTCTCTTGAATTTGTGGGTGCATAAATTATGGTAGTTCAAAGCAGTTTTGGGATGTACTGGTCCATTTATCTCTTAATTTCCACTTATTTCATTCAAAAATATGCTTAGAGTTAGGATGGATAAACTTGTGCCTGATGAGTCATTCCCATTACTATGTCGAAGTATTGCTTGGATATACGTTTTGTGCTAACCCAAAGCTGTTTGTGAGATGTAGTAGCTTACAATCCTATTGCTGAAATATACACATTTGATGCATATATTCATATTCATATAGTCTATTTTTCAAAATATAAATAAGTTAAATTAATTAAAACATGACACTGTAAATTAAATTAATGAAATTACATTAACATGGTACTTTGACAGCCCAAACTACTACTATGCAATTGCAATGTAGTCTCCTGGCTACTTTAGCAACACCATACGCTAATAAGAATAATTCCTTATTGCTCTAGTTTGTGCCTCTCAGATATCTTTGTACTATGAACATTCTCCTCATAAACAACTGTGGAGCACAATGTATGATCACTTGATAACAATTATTTTTTTGGATTTGGATCAACAATTGTTGTAATCATTGTCTGGCTGGTTTTTTTTTTTAGGTATTTACCCGTAAATTAGAAGAAGTGGGTCGAGTGTTGTTTCTCATTTCTCTGACTCAGAAGATTCCTGTGGCTCACAAGCAGTCCCACGTGTCTTTGTTGCAAGAAGACCTTCTTCGCTTGCCTTCATTTCCCCGTAGTGCCATTGATGCAGAATTCTCACTCTTCAATGATCCACAAGGTACTGCTATGTCTCCCTCAAGCTGAGCTTGACTCCAGGTGACTAAATAGACATTTTTTTGACAGCAGTAAGGAACTGGTTTACCATCATCCTCTTCTAAGATTGTTTTACTTTCCAATATAGGCTGTAGGATTTCCTGTCTTCATCCCCTACAAGTACCAACCAGGTCTAACTATATGGAAAACATTTTACCAATACTCTACTGAACCACCAAAATGAGACTGGTTGCTTAGATATAATTAAATGTCCATAGATAGAATCGCCATAATTGTTTAATGGTACTGAATGGGTTTAATATGTGATCAGCAAAATAGAACAAGAATCTATTATCTCTTTGAATAACCAAAGTTAATTAATGCAGCAAGCCCTATTTTAATACTTTAGTGTATAGATACCTCAGGAGATTTTTTTTTTAAAGGAAGCTCTGATATTTCTCTTTAAAATAAGCTGCTGCATTTTATTATGACATTGCTCTCTTTGTTCTCTTAGCTGGCAAGGAACTCTTTGGTCTAGATACACTTCAGAAAAGCCTATGGATTAAATTGCTAGAAGAGATGTTTCTGGGAATGCCCAGTGAATTTCCCTGGGGGGATGAAATTATGCTGTTCCTGAATGTATTTAATGGAGCCCTGATCCTACACCCAGAGGACAGCGCACTGTTGAGGCAGTATGCTGCTACAGTAATCAACACAGCTGTACATTTCAACCACCTCTTCTCTCTCAGTGGTTACCAGTGGATCCTTCCCACTATGCTGCAGGTAAGCTTAAAAAAAGAAAACTAAAAGCTGTACAGTAGTCATTAGGCTATCCTGCCAGATCAAACTTTCCAAAGGATCCATTGATCTTATCATTCATTGCATCCCTTTAATTCTTTATTATGGCTGCTCTGAGTCACAGTGCAGCTTTTGAAGATGACCCTTCAGCCTCTTGGTAACAGATGAAAACTCCTAAGGATTTTCTTGTTTCTTATTTCCCAGGTATATGCTGACTATGAGAGTAATCCACAGCTCCGCCAAGCAATTGAGTTTGCCTGCCGTCAGTTTTACATTCTACATCGTAAGCCTTTTGTGCTGCAATTGTTTGCTAGTGTTGCTCCACTTCTGGAATTTCCCGTGAGTGTCAACCAACTCCTGCATGAAAATTGTTTTCATTATTTTCTGACCATGCTGAAAATGCAATGGAGGTATAATAATATATTTAAAGAATTGCAGTGTTCTGCGCAATTCATTGACCCTTGTGTTTCTGCTCAGAAAAAGAAGCTGCTGGAAAATCAGTTCATGAGTTTAGGATTATTGAGTTTGACAACCACACTAAGATTACTGTCAACTTTACTTGCAACCTCCTAAGGAGCTACAAGCCATAGCATGAGAACAGCCAGACAACAACAACAACAACACCAGCATCAACAAAGTCCTTCAGTGGGTTGGAGAAATGATACATGGTTTATACTGGTTTATCCTACATCCACCCTGCATGCTCTTTTCCCACTAACTCTCTTATGCAGAGAAGCTTTAGCTTCCTTTTCTGAACCCACCTTAACTTATTCCTTGAAGGCTTGCTCACATTTTCAGCAGTTCTGGTCTCCTGTCTAGAAAATTCTCCCCTCCAAGGCTGACATTCTCCCATTAACAGAACATTAATATTGCCCTGCACATTCAGCTTTTTGTGGAGAGACACGTCTGTGCATACATTAAATGGTGTTAAATACATTTATAAATAAAAATCTTCTAATGCTGTCATTTTTTCCTAAGCATGCACTAGTTAAAGTGATTATTTGGACATGACAGAAAAGGCATAGTTCTGAGTAAGTGGGAATGATAAACCGTCACCTTCAGCTTCACATCTCAGTTTTTGACATTTAGAAATATTTGGGCCATGAAGACTATGTTGTACATGTTAAATGGGAGTTAAATTGTGAACATTCTTCAGAAGATGTTCATTTGATTGTGCAATATATAGATACTGTTTTAGAATTTCTGAAATTACCTGCTGACCTTCTTAAAACATTACCATTAATAATGTTTCTGAATCCATTAAAATTCTTAATGAAAGCCATCACGAGGAAGCATCCTCCCGATGGCAAGTAAACTGACTTTGGCACCAATAATAATTTCATTCTTATAGCAAAGAGTATCTTCAGGGCACAGTATCTGGGAAGATTGTGGCTGGCAATTAAATAAAATAATATTTTTTAAAAATACCAAATGAAATAATTTGTTCCATGCACCATTAAGGTTGCCCGCTCATCACCTTGATTTTAAACAGCTCATTTCACAAAATCAGACCACTTTGGGATTTCTCAGACTTTGTAATAAAACCCTCTGTATATAGGGATTAAAATCTGCAACTCTTGTATAAAATTTTCACATATCCAAAACTGGTGTTGCTTACTTCAGATGACATAAACGTTTGAGTGGGATATAAGTGGTTTTCACTGGATATTGATATCCCTTTTTAAAAAACATTGTGCATCCTTTTAAAAATTGTAAGCCTCCCAGGGTCTTTTTGGAATACGGCAGCCTTAAAATCCAACAAACAAGTAAATAGAACAACATTGCTTTCTTCACTGCAGGATGCTGCATACAATGGACCCAGCAAGGGAGTGTCTGCTCAGTGCCTGTTTGATCTCCTACAGTCCTTAGAAGGAGATACTTCTGACAACCTAGATATTCTAGAATTGGTAAAAGCAGAGAAGCCTCTGAAATCACTAGGTATTTTCAATTTATTTTTTAAAAAATTGCCATTTTTCTTGTGAAATAAATGTATTTCTGCTTTCATTTTTCTGATAAACTAAAAAGTTAAATACAAAACTAATTTTAAAAGTTTTTTTTAATGGTCAGGATCATACTTGGGGTGGGATTCAGCTGGTTCGGGCTGGTTCGGGCAAACTGGATATTAATTTTACATCCAGTTTGCTGAACCAGGAGTTCTGAAGACCAGCTGGCCCCACCCCACCCTGCCCCGCTCCTCCCAGGAATCCCCATGTGCCTGATTCTGGCTCCCAGGTAAGTGCAGGGAGGCCTCTTAGGCCCAAAATGAGGCATGGGGGTGTGTGGTGTGCCCCCCCATGCCCCATTTTGGCTCTCCTTAGGTTCCAGGGAGGCTTCCTAGGCCCAAAATGGGGCACGGGGAGAGGTGGTATTCAGCAGGTTCTGACCAGGTCTGGAGAACCGATCGTGGAAATTTTGAGTAGTTTGGAGAACTGGCAAATACCCCTCTGACTGGAGATTTTACAGTATCGTTTCCCTACCACACCCACCAAGCCACGCCCACAAAACCGGTAGTAAAAAAAAATTGAATTCCATCACTGGGCATGGTGGGCGTGGCACCCCCCACCATGCCCCATTTTTGCTCCCAGGAGGCTCCAGGGAGGCAAAACAGCACAGCAATCGAGGGCTGGAAGGGACATCTAGCCAACCGCCTGCTCCAAGAGCATTGTTAAAGTGAGTTTCTCTCTTTTGACCTACCCAGTCATGTGACCACCAAGCCACACCCACCAGGCCACACCCAGAGAACAGGTTGTTACAAAATTTGAATCCCACCTCTGTTCATACTATGTTACTTACACTATGCAGGATCTTCTTGTCTGCCCCTATTCAATAAATGAGAAGCCAGTCGTTGATTTAAACCCTATGATTTTCCTCCACAAAGAAACACCTTTTACAGGTAGTCCATAACTTACAAAAGTTATTTAGTGATCAAAGTTACAATAGCATTGAAAAAAAATGATTTATAACCGTTTTTCCACACTTGCAACCATTGCAGCATCCCCATGTTCACGTGATCAAAATTCAGACACTTGACAGCTGGCTCATATTTCTGAGAGTTGGCAGTGTCCCAAAGTCATGTGATCACTGTTTTGTGACCTTCTGATATACAAAGTCAATGGGCAAGCCAGATTCGCTTAATAGCTATGTCACTAACTTAACAACTGCAGTAATTCACTTAACAACTTTGGCCAATGTCTCACTTAGCAACAGAAATTCTGGGATCAATTGTGGTCATAAGCTGAGAGCTACCTGTATTTTAGTTTTAAAGAAACAAAATTCTAAAGAGGTCCAAACTGGCTTACAATTGTATTATATCATTATTTCTATCTATATTCTTGGCCTTTGTATTTTTTTACTTTATATTCTTGTATTGTATCTTGTTTTCTCTCTATATTTTCTAATGTTAAAAGTTTTCTTGGAAGTAACTCTCACTATGTTTTAATGAATTTTCCTAGTTAATTTTACTGTGGAGTCACATAATCAGAGTTGGAAGGGACCTTGTAGGTCATCTAGTCCAACCCCCCTGCCCAAGCGGGAGACCCTACACCATTTCTGACAAATGGCAGTCCAATCTCTTCTTGAAAGTCTCAAGTGATGGCGCTCCCACAACTTCTTTTTTTTTTGTAAATTTTATTTGAGTTTTCACAAAGAGAAAAAAAAATACAAATAAAACATCTTTTTTGAAAGCAGCATAATCCCAGGTTACATTTCTTCATAAAGACACAAATTCAGGTTCAAGCTCATTTTTATATTCTATTCCATATCTTATTACTATTTTACATTTTCTGCATAGCTTCTCCCCTCTTTTAATTTTCTCAATTTTATTTTAATTATCTCATCTCAATTCAAATCATTGTATTTATATTTTTTGTCTGTCCTGATTCAATTATCTATTATCTTTTCTCATTAAAAAAAATTTCTCCTGTAGTTACTGATTGGAGTATGACGCCTTTGTATCTTTTCCCTAAAATTGTAACATTCAATATAATACATAACTTCCATTCAGATTCTGCTTGGTACATTCTTAAAATACACATTGTATTCTTAAAAAAAGAATTTTTTTAATAAATGTATATAATTAAAACATTCCATTCCAATTCAATTCTATCATTAATATTAATATTCATTAAAGTCTTAACATCTTTAACATTACTTTTCAATTAAATATCATACTTCTATGGGAACAATTATAAGCTTTCCATAGTTAATTCCCCCCCTCTTCGCTTATATTTTATAAAACATTAACTAATTAAAATGTTCCCGTTCCTTCCTAATTCAATTTTCTCATTTATTTTATTTCACTTATTTTATTCACAAATATTTCACTAAATTACACTATTTTATCCCTCATTTTAATCATACGTTGTTTCCAATTTTCTAAAGTTATTTCTATTACTAATATAACAATACAATCTTATGTACCTTTACAGAATCCCTTTTTCAGTTAGATTTTCACCCATTATCTCTAAATAGGTCCTGTTTCTCTATATCTTGCTCAGGTCCTTTGTAACTTCTTTTCCTTTCCTTCTTCCCTCTCTTCTTCTCTCTACCCTTTTTACCCCCTTGTCTCTCTACCTCTATTTCTTTCTTCTGTATTCCCCTTTTTTGTTGCTTTCCAGTATTATACTTATTTTTCGAGTTATTTTTCTTTTCTTTGGTTGTTTTTTTAAGTCTTAAATTCTCCATTCTCTTTCCCCCCTTTCCTTTTTCTTCCCCACGTAGAATTACTTGTTTATTAAAGATGGCTTCTTCTTTGTCCCAGTCTTCTTGTTTTGCAGTCTTTTCTTGTTGTTTCTCATAGTTCCAAATCTCCATTTCTAAGAATTGAAAGACGAAGCCAAAAGAACCCTTCCCTTCTTGTGCATCTTCTTTGTACTTTTTAAGTTCCATTTTCAATTCATCCAGAAGTGGTGCCATTGTATAAATTTTTAAATAACCACCCAATTGATTTTAGTCATTCAAATATAATAACCAAAAATCCAAAGATCACTAAATAATCCAAATACACTCAAGCTGTTTCTTTTTTGCTCTTTTTTTCCCCACTTTCTCTTCCTGGGGTTACTATTTAGTTGCAAAGTTTCATTTAAAATGTATCTTTTAGAAGTCTTGTTGAAGTTTTACTTTAGATTCTTTTTAATTCCAGGCAGTCTCCTCCCTCTTCCAGATCCTGCCCTTATTCTTTTTCTCTCCCTTCCTGCTTATGAAAAAGAAAGTTTTTAATGTCCAGAAATCTTTATTATCCTTTTGGCATTTTGTTTTATTTTCAACTTAATTGCCTATTGATGTCAAAGCAGATTTTTCCGATTTCTTATTTAAGTCTCTTAGTTGTCAGTATAGGGAAGGAGAGAGAAGAAAAAAAAAGCCAAACCTTTCCCTTTTCACTTTCCTTTGCTGCTTCCGACTATTCTTTGGGAGCAATGTTATTTTTTGTAATTTTAAATTCCAGGGTACCTTGGTTGTTGCTTTTACAATTTAACCCGGTCAACCAAACTTTCACTTCTTATCTTCCTCCTGCACATTCTTTTCCGGTTGAGTTCTCCTTTGTGGTGGCCATTTCTGACCACTGCTGCAACCGCCTTCAGGAAAGGGAGTAATGGCCAGCTGAGGAGGAGAGATGCGGCTCTCCTCGACCCTGCTGGCAGTCTCCCCCCTCTTCACCACCTCTACGGGGTAGCTTAGCCCCGAAACCAGCTGGCCCGGGGAGCTCCAGAGGTGAGCCCAGAAAGAAACTGTACACGATTGCAGATTTATGTCTGTCGCCAAAGCCCTTCAAACCGGAAGTCTGGTGCTCCCACAACTTCTGAGGGCAAGCTGTTCCACTGGTTGATTGTTCTCACTGTCAGAAAGTTTCTCCTAATTTCCAGGTTAAATCTCTCCTAGTTCAGTTTCCATCCATTATTCCTTGTCTGGCCTACAAGTGCTTTAGAAAATAGCTTGACCCCTTCCTCCCTGTGGCAGCCCCTCAAATATTGGAAGACCGCTATCATGTCTCCTCTGCTTTACTAGACTAGCCAACCCCAGTTCCTGCAACTGTTCATTGTATGTTTTAGCCTCCAGTCCCCTAATCATCCTGGTTGTTCTTCTCTGTACTTTTTCTAGTCTTAACATCTTTTTTATAGTGTGGTAACCAAAACTGAATGCAGTACTCTAGGTGTGGTCTTACTAAGGCTTTATTGAGTGTTATTAATACCTCACTTGATCTCCATTGTATCCCTCTGTTAATACAATTAAGGATTACATTATCTTTTTTGGCTGCTGCTACACACTACTGGCTCAAACATGTTTCTTCAAACCACAGTCTTCAGTGGGGTTAAGTGCCAGATAAATGGTAATAGGACCAGTCTGATTAGGTAATCCCATCCATATTTATTTAGAAGCACTGTTAACTTTTTTTTAGATGAATGTCTATGCAAAATGCAGTCTTAAACTCTAAAGTAAAATGAATCTTAATAGAATTTATGAAATATCACTAATGATCCATTCTATTTTGATACAATGTATAGGCATTGTACAAATGTAGAGATAGAGATTGAACACGAATTAGTTGCCTAATGCAAAAAACATAGATGTTTATTGATTTTATCTCTCATGACACAATATTTCCATATTGTTGATACTCTGTTATGTTCTATTTTGTAACTATTTCAGATTTCTGTTACGGCAATGAGGACCTGACATTTTCAATCAGTGAAGCCATCAAGTTATGTGTAACAGTTGTGGCATATGCACCTGAGTCTTTCAGAAGGTAACAACTATTTCTTGGTTAATTGCCAATTACATTTTCAAACAAGTATGAAAACAATCTGTTATTCAAAGATTTTTCTTTTATTTATTCTTTCATGAAATTCATGAAGTTTTTCTCTATGTCTAATGATTAGAAGAATGTCATTACTGTTTCCAGGTGCAAAGTTTATTCTATCTGGCCTTTCAACTTCTACCTATGGTCATTGTCTCCTCAGTGCTTATCCTTTCTCAGGCTTAGCCATAGAACCTAGTTAGATGATGCTTGGCTTCTCTGACTGACAAAGAAAAATCACTTATTGCTGGTTGCTTCAACCACACCCACATTGGAAGCAAACATCTCCCTCTTTTTGCCTTCTCAAACTGTCTTGCCCTTTAACATTTTTTTCAGTTATTTCCTGTTTTGTTTTATTACATTTTTTGGAAGAAATTGTTATTGTTAACCAAAAAACTAAGATTTTTTTTTTTGCAGGTCCAAAATTGTTCTGGCTTTGATGCTGTCCTAATATTCACAAGAACTAGTCACCAAGTATTGTGCACAGTCCCTTTTCCTGCAGACAAAACTGGGTTTTTCCTGATTGGAGGGGTATTGTATTTCTGGATATAATCTCACATTGATAGCATTGATAGTTACATGATGTACATTGTTTCAGTCTTCAGATGCTGATGGTCCTTGAAGCTCTAGTGCCCTGTTACTTGCAGAAACTTAAGAGGCAAACCTCCCAAGTGGAAACTGTGACGGCTGCTCGAGAAGAGATTGCTGCTACAGCTGCTCTGGCGACATCCTTGCAAGCACTTTTGTACAGTGTGGAAGTTCTTACTCGGTGAGCTACACCACCTACTTACCATGACCTTGCAGGATCCAAGGGGGGGGGGGGGAAGATGAGAATTTTATGTTCCTGTCGATGGTGAAAACAATTGAATGCTGTTATATGTTTGTATAATGCATGTATATATGTACAACAACAAGAATTAAAATGGGCAATATTCACATCTGCATTATAAAATATAGAAGGTTGCATTTATCTGTTTCAAAATTAAAAGCTCACTAAATCTATTTCACTGAAAATTAGACTGGGAGCGAGGGAGAGTGTCAAAGTAGAATCTATCTGATGAATTTTAATCACAGATTAACAAATGCAGATTCAACATCTGCCATCCAGAATTTATTTTCCTCCTTTTTCGGAAGGTAATGCAATGACATTTAATAAAGATAAATGCACATAAACAATTTCCTAGGTTGAGCTTGACTCTTGAGACATGTATGAGATTTTCATTTTGGAATTTCCTATTTGTGGCATGATTATTCATTTGTTTGTTTACTTATTTAATTCAAACAATGTCCTGTATCTCCACAGTTTCCAAGTCTGTCCCTCTTAGATTTTTCAAGATCAGCCAAAAAGACTACTATAACACAAAAAGACTAATGATGATGCATCAATAAAAACAAAATTTCCACATCAAAAGAAATAACAGTTCTACTTTATTGTTTTATTTATATGGTTCGACAGTATCATGAGTTCTTTATTGATTCTGGAGTCCTTACATAAAAGGAATGAGATAATTAATACTTAAGGCCTATGAAGAGAGATTGAAGGAACTGAGACTGTTCATCTTGAGAATATTGAGAGTAAGGACGTGGCTGTGCTCTTCAAATACCTGAAAAAAGATTATATTTGAAAAGTCAAAGTTTCTGTTGTTTCTGAAGGCAGGACATTGAATAATAGATTTAAGAAATAGGTTGGCTAATTCCAGTTGAAGCTTAGAATAATTTCCCAGCTCTAAGAATCATCTGGCAGTGAGGTCAGTTGATGAGTAAAGTGGTGAACTCCTCTTTGCTGGATGTGTTAAGTTGAGGCTCAACAAGTTGAAGCTTTAATTTTAATTTAAGCAGAAGAGACCCAAATAGCTTTTCCAGTACTAAGATTCTTCTATTACTGCTACTTCTACTAATTACCGTACTGCTACTACTACTGCCATTAACAGGCCAATGACTGCACCTCAGATGAGTCGCTGTGATCAAGGCCATAAAGGAACCACTACTGCTAACCATACTATGTCAGCTGGAACAAATACCAGGTATTTAACAGAGGCTGCCCTACAACTTATTGTTGAAACCTTAGTAATACTAATGCTTTTCCATAGTCTATATATTGTACAATACTGCAAAAGAAAATGAATGTTGGGACAGATAGGGATAGAATGTAAGACTTACCTTATTAGATCAAACCAGCAATGATTATTGGTTTTGTTTTTAGCAGAAGCCAGCTCAAAACTCACAAGAATTTAACACAGGACACATGATAGAAATGACAGCCATATGTCAAAATTTATTTCTATCATTTAGTAACCTGAAGTGCAATTCCTATAAATATAATCTCCCCATGAAAATATGCTTATATCCAGAGTTTAGTAAACTCACTGCCCTGGGGTGAGAAGAATCAGATTACTATGCAATATGACAAATGAAGTTAGTCTTTTTTTATAATAAGTTTTTTATTTTTCAGTTTCAAAAATACATACATTCCATTTTTTTAAATCAGTGTGTCATCCGGGCACAAACTCCTTTATGCTACATTTTTCACCATTTACAACTTCTTCGCATTCATATTTCTCTAAACTTAGAATTGAGATACATCAAACAGCTAAACAATATACAAATCTTCTCATGATAGTACCGTATTAACATTACATCCCATTATTCTTGTCATAGGTATATTAACAATTATATTATGGCTATTTCTAGCTTATCTTATTTTCTATTCTCCTTTATTCTTCTTCATTTCCAAATTCCTTTTTTATTTTCTAACCATTAATAAAATGTTTCCCATATCATATAGTATTCAAAGTGGAATAGATAGCACCACTACTAGATGGACTCGCAACTGGCTGGCAAACCGTACTCAACGAGTAGTCCTTAATGGGTCTAAGTCTACATGGAGGGAAGTAAGCTGCTGGGTGCCACAAGGTTCCGTCTTAGGCCCAGTACTCTTCAATATCTTCATTAACGACTTAGATGACGGAATAGAAGGGGAACTTACCAAATTTGCAGATGATACTAAGCTGGCAGGAATAGCTAACACCCAAGAAGATAGGCTCAAGATCCAGATGGATCTTGACAGATTAGAACACTGGGCCATATCTAACAAAATGAAATTCAGCGTAGAGAAAAGTAAAGTCCTACACTTAGGCAAAAAAAACCCCCAAAAGTACAGATATAGACTGGGTGAAACCAGGCTCAATAGCAGTAACTGTGAGAGGGATCTTGGAGTCTTAGTGGACAACCAGCTAAATATGAGCCAGCAGTGTGCAGCAGCAGCCAAAAAAGATAATGTAATCCTAAATTGTATTAACAGAGGGATACAGTCAAGATAAAGGGAAGTACTAATACCACTCTATAAAGCCTTAGTAAGACCACACCTAGAGTACTGCATTCAGTTTTGTTTACCACATTATAAAAAAGATGTTGAGATTCTAGAAAAAGTACCGAGAAGAGCAACCAGGATGATTAGGGGACTGGAGGCTAAAACATACAACGAACAGTTGCAGGAACTGGGATGGCTAGTCTAGTGAAGAGAAGGACCAGGGGGACATGATAATGGTCTTCCAATATTTGAGGGGCTGCCACAGGGAGGAAGGGGTCAAGCTATTTTCTAAAGCTCCTATAGGCCAGACAAGGAATAATGGATGGAAACTGAACAAGGAGAGATTTAACCTGGAAACAAGGAGAAACTGTCTGACAGTGAGAACAATCAACCAATGGAACAGCTTGTCCTCGGAAGTTGTGGGAGCTCCATCAGTTGAGACTTTCAAGAAGAGATTGGACTGCCATTTGTCAGAAATGGTGTAGGGTCTCCTGCTGGGGTGGGGGGTTGGACTAGATGACCTACAAGGTCCCTTCCAACTCTGATTATCTGTTATCTGTTATCAATTTGCTCTTTCTCCTTGATTGCTGGTGTTAATCTGTTCATCTCTGCATAGTCTAATATTTTCCTAATTACCTCCTCATCTGTGGGGATCTCCTCACCTTTCCAATGTTGTGCAAATACAATTCTAGATGCAGTTAGCACATGCATAATTAAATATGCATCCTCTTTATTATGCATGTCTGGTAAAATCCCTAACAGAAATATTTCTGGTTTTAACTCAGTACATTGTTTTATCATCTCTTCCAACCATGTCTTTATTTTCATCCAATATTTCTTCGCTTTACCATGCGTCCACCACATATGATAGCTGGATCGAAGTATCTAGTGACATTTCCAACATTTAGCTGATTTGTCTCTAAACATCTTTGCCAACCTCATTGGTGCAAAATGCCATCTGTAAAACATCTTATACACATTCTCTTTATATGCCATTGACATCATTAATCTATAATTCCTGTCCCACAGTTTCTGCCACTTATCTAATTCTATCATGTAGCCAAAAATTTTCGCCCGTGCTATCATTGTCTTCTTTACTTGTTCCTCTTCCAATTTTATGCCTAGTAAATAACTATACAGTTTCTTTATTAGCCTTTCTTCTTTTTCCTGTTAGCATTTTATCTAACTCTGTTAATTCTTTGTAAAAAAACCCTGTGATTTGACATCTTTCTCATATCTAGACTGTATCTGCACTCGTGAATACCGTGTTATATTGATCCCTAGCTCACTCACAAATGAAGTTAGTCTGAAACTGGACTGAGGTTGTAACCTGCAGCTGCCTAAAGAAATGGTCTGAGTCCTTCTCAATGCACTTCATGGCATACTAAGCTGGGGCAGAAGATAGAAGTAGGGGAACTTCTGAATAATTTTAAATGTGATGGCAGAATACGCATACATTTTCTCTACATCTTCCTGTCCACTTCCACTGTCCAGGATGAAGATGGAACCATTTTATCTTGCCTTCACTCCTCTAATTCTGAGTAATTCTACAGTAGGAGCTTTTCAATTGACCTTGTGATGTGTTTGAGACATAGGGCTTCTCTCACAGAGTGGGTAGGATTCTGGCAATACCAAACTTCAGGTCATCCCCCCAAGTCTGCCCTAGCATGTCAATAATTGTACATAGGGCAGTTCTCCATGGTGAGGAAGTTGTTTGATCTTGTAAAATATGGGAAACATTCTTTTTTATTAATCTACCTTAAGCTTTTGCTCTAAGCTGAAACAGATGATGGAGTTGCTCAGGAAGAAATATGTGAAAATCATCTTCTTTTCCATCTGCCCATTGGAAAATATATGGAAATTTACATTAGTTTAAACAATATATCATAATTGGATAACACTCATGAACTTAAATACTGTTGTTAATTACAATGGTTGGAAAACCACTGCTAGACTTCTTTATGATTTTGTCTAGACTTTTAAATAACATATTCCTATCCTGGTAGCTAATAAATATTTATGCATATGAGGCAATCAATTTAATGATTACTGCATAGTAACCTTAAATGTAATACCTGGAGAAAAGCCCTCACACCTTTTCTTTTGCTGAAATTTTATTTGGACTTTCTTCCAAGTATGTGTGCTTCAGTGACATGCTACTGTTTGTATAGACATGTTTCCCCATTAAAGAGCAAAGCTCTTTTCTTCTGGTGAACAGACCAAGATACTGTTTTCCTCTGTGCTCACTAGATACGTCCATATTCACAGCTAAACATTGGCAAATATAATCAGGGGTGGGATTCAAATTTCTTAGCAATCAGTTCTGTGGGTGTGACCTAATTTGTGGGTGTGGCTTGGTGGTCATGTGACTGGCTGGGCATGGCTTGCTGACTGGGCATGGCTTGGTGGTCATGTGTCTGGCTAGGCGTGGCTTGTATGCAAATATTATAAATATGTATGTAAATATTGAATTTTTTATTAAAAAAGAGCAACTTTTACCCCAAATCAGGCAAAGAGGCAGGCAGATTGAGTTGCTCACAGAATCATAGATTCACTCAGAGATCTATCTTTCTGCAATCTGCTACCTAAGTCTGTCACATAAAATTTTCTTGCAAGCAAATTCATAAAATTTGCTAGCAAGCAAACTCACAAAACTAACTCACAACACACCAGAGATCTATCTTTCTGTAATCTGCTACCTGAGTCTGCACTGAAAAATAGAAGCTTCAGTCCTAAGGAAGGTTCAGCTCTGCTTTTAGATTAGCTAGAAAGCAAGAAATCCAACGATTTCCTGCTTTCTAGCTAATCTAAATCTTCCGGCACAGCAGAACAGCTGATGGTCAGAGGGAAAAAAAGGGAAATTAGCAACTTACCAAATACAGGCAAGTTTGAAGGCGTGCATGCCAGATAAGAAGTGAGTGGGAAAGGTGGGGGGGGGGGAGAGACCAGCCAGTGGCATGATTTGCCAGTTCTCCAAACTGCACAGAATCATAACAACTGGTTCTATAGAACCAGTCCAACTAGGCAGAATCCCACCCGTGAATATAATACTAAATAGAGCTGTGTGTGTATTAAGTCCAAAATATGTAGGTTTAAACAGAGCTATTGCTATCTCAAAGAAATGTGCAAAACACCAATCTAGCCTGGGGTTGGTTCACTGGCTTTCATGCACATCAGTAGTGGGATTCAGTTTTTTTTTACTAATGGTTCTGTGTGGGTGGCTTGGTGGCCATGCCAGGGGAAGGATACTGTAAAATCTCCAGTCAGAGGTGGTATTTGCCAGTTCTCCAAACTACTCAAAATTTCCACTACCGGTTCTCCAGAACTGGTCAGAACCTGCTGAATGCCACCTCTGCTGCACATACAGCACCACATCCAAATATGACTCTTATGCAAGATGAAGTTGCTTTATATACAGAACAGGTGTTATCAGGAGAGTGGACATGAAGAGGAAAGCATCCCCTCATTCTTCCATTGCTACTGCATGTATTGTATTTGATCTAGATCAAAGTGTACCTTGCCTTATGATGTTTGAATTCCTCTGTCCTTGTTTTTGTCTTTTAAATTCTAGGTATCCAGAGCAAGGGGCCAAACTGCATTTTATCAGGTACTGTAATATTGCCACCAGCCTCTTTCTTTAGAATTTGTAAGACATTCCTTTAACACAATCTTTCTACTCTCTGTTCCAAACTGGGCTATGTTTTGAATGACTTTATACCAGAGATTCCATGTCAGGAGAAAACAGCCAAAAGTCCCTTAAGTGCCTTTTCTGGCTGCTTCTCTCATGAGAAATATCGAGCAATTATTTTCCTGCAAAGGGTGCCTTTCCTGCAAAGGTACATTCCATCCGCAGGCAGGATTCGTGTCAACGATATCACATATCAGCCCATTCTTGTCTCTTGATTTACATATTCTGCATTTCCCCTGTTTGTTATATTTAGAGAAAACCTTCATTTGCTAGAGGAAGGCCAAGGTATCCAGCGGGAGGAGCTAGATGAACGTATTGCTAGAGAAGAGTTTCGACGACCTCGTGAGTCCCTATTGAATATATGCACTGAGTTCTACAAACACTGTGGCCCCCGACTGAAGATTTTACAGAACCTGGCTGGAGAGCCCAGGGTGACTTCTTTAGAGCTGCTGGATGTTAAGTCTCATATGAGGTATTATTTCTGAATGTCTGTAAATATTTGACTGTCCATTAGCAATAAGTGTGTATGGCAAGTATGCACTGTAATATACAAAACAGAATTTTAAGTTTCTTTCAATTGTAAGTAGAATAAGATTTTTTTCTTTTCCAAATTATTTCAGGTAATATCATAAAAGGGGAAAAGAAAATTTGATCTAAACCCTTAACAATAAATTCACAACAATGGAAAAGCTGTTCAGGTGTAAACATCTGCAGTGTCATCCATTAGTTGAAATGTATAATCACAAATATTGTCATTTCTGTGTGTAAAACTCAGCTAAGTATATTTTCAGAAACCATTCAGCATGTATTTTTTATTATTGCATTATCAGCCTGGTTGGCATTTATATTCAGTGAAACCTCAGGTTGCGACTGTAATCCATTCCAGGACTATGGTCATAACCCAATTTGGTCGTGATCAGAAGCATGACCGACGGCGCATGTGTGGACAAAAGTTTGCGCGGATTGCACATGCATGGAAGGGGAAATCAGTGCAGAAAGGGAATCTGCTGCGGCCAGGTTTGTTTGCCTCCTGATTTTTGAATTGTGACTTGATTCAAAAATTGGGTGGAGTTTTTTGGTCGAAGCTGATTTGGTCGCAAACAGAAGTGTTTGCGACTTGAGGTTCCACTGTTTATGACTTTTCTTATCCCTGAAGACAGATTTTTGGAAGATTGTCAGGAATATATAACCTGCCACTCTAAGATATAGATATTTTTTTGCAGAAATATATTTAGATATAGAGGTGATTGTTGAAGAATATGGTTTTCATTTCAGCCGTGATGATCCTTTCCCTTTCCTTCATAGTTGTAGAAAATAAGATCCATCAGTCTTGATTCTGCCTTCTGGGAAAATTGAGGCTATCAGTTTCAGAATTCTTGTGCTGATTAAAAATAAAAGGGATTATTTCTTTCCTTGATTCAATCCATCTTCAGTTTATGCATTTTCAATCAGTTCCATCTCTGAGTGGAGCCTTAGTGACAGATCTTATTTACAGCATCCTTTAAAAAGCCAGGAGGCCACAATATTAGCAGAAAGAATGAAACCAATTTTGAGTGAACTTATACATACAGACCAGAATGGTTTCCTGCCAAATAGACAAATTAAAAACAATATTAGGACAGTACTAAATTTGATTGAATACTATGAAGCTCACCCAGAAAAACAGGCAGCTTTAATTTTTTTAGATGCACAAGAAGCATTCGATAATTTCAATTGGAAATTCATGCTATCAAATTTAAAAGCTGAACTGTGGCACTAATATAGAAAAAACTTTACAAGAAATATACTCAAATCAAAAAGTATTATTAAATGGAGATCGCACTGAAGATTTTGAAATTGCAAAAGGAGTGAGACAAGGGTGTCCATTATCACCTCTGTTATTTATCTTGTCTTTAGAAGTGTGGCTAGCAACCAGGCAAAACCCAGAGATTCATAGAATTAAAATTAGAAATGAGGAATATAAAGTTCAAGCATTTGCCGATGATTTGGTATTTATAGTGGAAGATCCAATGAATTTGGGACCAATATTGTTGCAACAAATAGAAAAATTTGGGGAAGTGGCAGGATTTAAAATAAATAAAAATATAACTAAGATGATAGTCAAAAACTGTACAACAAAACAGAAAGTAGAATTAGAAAACATAATGGGAATTTGGATATCACCCAGATGTTCATCATTAAAAGAGGACAATTATGTTAAAGTGATTAAGCAAATCAGAAAAGAATTGGAATTATGGGCCAAATTGAAACTGTCTATATTAGGAAGAATAGCAGCGTTGAAAATGAATACTTTACCAAAACTAATACATCTATTCCAAATGATTCCAATTAAATTAGAGAAATCTTTTTCTACAGAACTAAATAAAATGACATCCAAGTTTGTCTAGTTGGGCAAGTGGCCACGTATTAAAATGAAACGATTACAAGATAATAGGAGCAGAGGCGGTCTTGGACTACCAGAATGGGAGCTTTATTACCAGGCAGCGGTGTTGAGTTGGATTAAGGATTGGGTTAAATTACGAGACAAGAGAATCTTAACATTAGAAGGACATGTCCTCTTGATAGGTTGGCATGCATTTTTGTGGGAAAACAAAAGTAATATACATACCTATTTCAATCAACACCTAATAAGAGACTCATTGATTACAATTTGGGAAAAAATCAAAGGTAAACACTATATGGAAATCCCACAATGGCTGTCAACCATGGAAGCCATAATACATCCAAATAGATTAGACCTATGGAAAATGGTAAGCTATGAAGAATTATTAGATAGTCAAGGGAAATTAAAATCAAACCAAGAACTGAAGGAAAATGGAATTATAATCGATTGGTGGCCATATTTGCAAATTCAAAATAAATATAAAAAAGACTCAAAAGATTTTGGATTTGACAAAGGGCAGAACCAATTAGATAAAATATTAATGGGACTGGAACAAAAACTTATAACTAAAATATATAAATATTTATTAGACTTCAAAATGGAAGAGGAAATAGTCAAAAGTACAATGATTGCATGGGCACAGAATTTTGGATACACTATAGAATTAGAGGAATACTATTGTCATTTGTGGGGGTTTTCCTAATCTTACAGTATCTTGCATCAATTCCATCTTCTCCCTGATTCCTTGTTATATCTTCCTTAATACATTGAAACATCAATAATATTTCTTTATAGACTGCATTTGTTTTCCCCTGCTGAGACATTTTGTGCTGATATACTACATTGATCACTGCTCAATATTCCACCAAAATTTCAATATCCCAATTGTCCAGAAACATCAAAAACACCAGTATTAATAACATTTACACAGTCATGGAACTGTTCCTCAAAATCCCCTAAATTTGCACCCTCTAAGTTTTCCAAATTTTTAAGTCTTATTCAATTTTTCTTCTTTCTTCTTTTGCCTCATAGAATGTGCTGTCAGATTATCTTAATAATCCAGATTGGCCCACCAAATTTCCCCAAGTGTCTTTAGTCCACAAAGTCAAATATTCAGTTTCAGACATTCAGAGATGTTTCTTTTTAGTTGTCTTCAAACGGTTCACTAATACTTCCAAGCAGCCAAAACTCCAGTAGATATGAAACCAACATAAAAAGGCCTTCCGGGTTTGCCTTTCTCTATTTTCTTCTTTCTCCTCTTTGGTTTTTTTGTATTATCCAATAATATCAATATAATATTTGATCAGTAAATGGCACCCCGACTCTAAAATTCAGTTTTAAACAAAGCAAAACTGGGGGGAGGGGGATAAAAAGCAAAGTTCCTCTTTCTTTGTACAAACTCTTCCAATAATCAAGCAATATTATCCATAAATTAAATCACTTTTCACACTACTAACAGTTCCAGTCTAGTCCTTCTCTATTTTAAAGCTTCACAGTCTTCCCTTGACAGTTTATTTCACCTTTAGGTCTGTAATCTTTCTCGATGTAATCGCTTTCTTAACATTTGGGTGAGTCTTTTTTTTAGGAATTCTTTTATTTGGGTTTAAGTCTCTAGTATAGAAGTTGAACGAAATGAGAATTTTCTCCCTCTCTTTTAGACAAGAGGGAGCAATCCCAAATATATTTTTTTTCAATCTGCTAAGCAAATTCCTGTCCAACAATACATACAATAAGGGACCAAACCAGTGGTGGGATTCACATTTTTTACTACTGGTTCTGTGGGCGTGGCTTTGTGGGCATGGCTGGGGAAGGATACTGTAAAATCTCCAGTCGATGTGGTATTTTCCAGTTCTCTGCTCAAAATTTCGGCTACCGGTTCTCCAGAACTGGTCAGAACCTGCTGAATACCACCTCTGGACCAAACACATTTCGAAAATAAAGAGAAGTAACTATTGTTAGGCCTGAAATTTAGGTTCTTCCCCATTGCTATATTTTACTCCTTCCCTTTATCCTCTTCTTCCTTCTACTCTTGATTCCAGCCAGGGAGATGAGATTAGCAAATCGTGCCATGGCCAAAAGGGCAAAAAATATATGAGGATAAAGAGAAAGCCAAAACTTATTCCTTATGGTAATAATGTCTACAGGGAATCTATCTCTACAGTTGCCACTGCCTCTTCATATTCCAAAGGAGACATTGCCTCTGTCTTCCCAGAAAGGGGAACTGAAGATCCTGGGAACAAGGGTCATTGATACTTGAGAAGATTGTACTGTATAGCAATTATAATGCATATGCATTTCTGTTATTAGAATAAGCTTTCTTGAATTGGATAATAGTAAATATTGCAAGAGATATGCTCTGATTAAAATTAACTTCATGATTCATTCAGTTTTCCTGAGGGGAAAACATTCTTTTGTTTTATTAACGGATTAGTGGATAACACTGATTTTGTCTTCTAATATTCAAAATATCAGAAATGTCTGAAAAATAGACAGGTAGATTTAATTATGTTTAAAATAATACTAAATCACATGTATATCATTAAACAACACAATATGATAAAACTAGGCAAGTAGGGATCACTACTATGGCAACACACTAACATTCTGCTTTAAAATTTGGTGCTATTACACTGTTCTAGTATTTTTCCCATCCTTTAGATAATAATTTTATATAGTATTGCATATAATATATAAAACTAAGAAATGAATACAGGTTGTCCAACTTCCAACCATTCGCTTAGTGACTATTGGAACTTACAACAACATTGGAAAAGTGATTTATGAACGTTTTTCCCACTTATGACCATTGCTGCATCCCCATGGTCATGTGGTCAAAATTTGGATGCTTGGCAACCACATGCATTTATGACAGTTGCATTGTCCCAGCCAGAATCATATAATCACCTTCTGACAAGCAAAGTAAATGGAGAAGCCAGTTTCACTTAACAACTGTGTTACTAATTTAACAACTGCAGTGATTCACTTAATAACTGTGGCAAAAAAGGTCATAAAATGGGGCAAAACTCACTTAACAACTATCTTGCTTAGAAATTCTGGGCTCATTTGTGGTTGTAAGTGGAGTGCTACCAATAATAAGGTTCCCCTATCTAATAAATCTACTATGCAACAAAAATATTAAGAATGCAGTATGGATATAAGAAATACTATTATTTATTTAAGCCATTATATTATATAGGTACATATATGCATGACTTATTTAAATAAATATTTTTACATTTCAGAAAAATGTTTAATACAGAAAAATATTTCATAATGTTAAATATTTAAGGTCAGACGTCCTTAGCCCATTGTGTCTTCCTGATATGTTGGATATCAAATTCCTATATTATTTTGCTATCATAGTCTTTAGGTTGCCATGTCTCTAGAGTGCATCAGAATGAAAAGGCTGCATCAGACAGTGAGAATCACCAGTGTGATGATCAGTTATCTTTGGGGACTATGTAGCATTTATTTATTGAGAGTGAGTTTTTCCATTAAACAATATTTCATCACTTTCTCAAAAGTGACAAAATCCAGATTTTTCTCTTAATGAGCAATGGTTTTAGATTGGCAGAGATTGCACATTCCCTTTTGAAGCTGGCACCTTATGATACCCAAACCATGGAGAGCCGAGGGCTCCGCCGGTACATCATGGAAATGCTGCCCATCACTGACTGGACTGCTGAGGCAGTGAGACCTGCCCTTATCCTCATCTTGAAAAGACTGGATCGTATGTTCAATAAAATTCACAAGATGCCTACTTTGAGGTAAGTGTGTTTGTCAGAAAACTATAGGATCAGTTTCTGAATTTGCAAGCCATGAAGGAAGGATGTTATTGTTATTACTATTATAACTATTACTATTATTATAAGGTATTATTATTGTTGTTGTTGTTGATAATGTTCGCTACACTGAATTCTTATAGTAAATATTTAAAAGTATATTTCTTCTATTGGCATATAGCCCTGTGATCATATTCGGAAACGATGTCAGCAGAAATGCAACCTTTTGTAAAAGGTTGCAAGAGTCTGATATATCTTTTCTGCTTTGGTAAATTCTAAAATTGTATCAAATGATCCACTGTGATTTTAATTAAAAATATACATCAGTAAGTTCTATATCTCATGTCATGAAACATTTTTTATAAAGACATATATGTGTAACGATGACAGCTAGGAAATGGTTATTTGTAATGATGTTTTCTGTAGTATACTTCTGTCTCCATTAAACTAGCTTTAAATGAATCAAAGAACATTCTTTTCCTTCCAAAAATAATTCCTAAAAGACATTTTGAATAGATGTTTTTATACCATTTTGCTTAATTGAGGCCAGTATCCATGAGCAGCACAATCAACAGCCTTCCTTGTAGTTAATTGTGTGATCCAAATTCCTAGCATATTTGAGCTATATTAGCTTACTTTCACCTCAGTTTAATAACTTGATTCTGTAAAAATACCAGCAAGTTCTTTAGATAGCTCCTACAAAAATATACAACAGATACATACTAGAATAACAAAGAACTTGGAACAGGCTATGTAAAATTTAAGGTAGCCTTTGAAGTTTATTTGATCAGATTGAACTAGGCCCATAGAAATGTGCATCAGTACCTATTTTTTAGACTTTAAAGGTTTAGAATCTTGTTTGATACTCTCTAGGTATTTTAATTAAGAGAATGCATTCTTCGGTCTTTGCATATTAAGTAAAATAAACAACACTCTTTTTTCTCATTTTATTTCCTGAAAACCTTTTCATAGGTCAAAATAAATTGTCAACAGAAATAGTTGTATATTCTTGCTTGCTGTCTGTCTAATTTTAAATCAATTTTCCAACCCTTGAAATTTTTTAATTGTTCATTTCCTCACTACTTTTAGAAAGTGCTGTCTCATTAACAGGACAAACATAATTTCTAATTGCCAATTCAGCAAATCTGCTCACTATAATGATTTTTTTTATCATAGGAAAGGACTGAGATATACAGATATTGGCTTGGTGCAAGTAATCATTCCTGGCTTCACAAAACATGGCTTAAAAATAAGCAGCAGGGGCTGAGTCTTCCTTCTCTCCAGCCCACACAAACCTGAATATGTATGAAGTCTGAGCTCCCTATGCTTTGCCCAGGATAATCTTGTTTGCAATATCTTATCATTATTGCTTTTCATGGTTGTCTCTATGAAACACATTATTGTCTCTATGAAAGTTCCTTGGAGAATTTTAGATTTGTCTATATTTCCAAGTCTATTAGCAAACCTTTGGCTTTTTCCTATGATCAGCTTGATCTCAGAATGGTAGCTACATGAATGAATTCTGTAAGAAATAAACAGATTTTTGGTACTTCAAATTTCCTGACTTCTTTTTAAGCATTGATATGAGAAGGAATTCAACTACTGGTAAACAAGGGCTAGAATTGCAATATAAAAGCAAGTGTAATTCTGTTTTCTCTTCATATCACTGGATATGAAACACTAATATTGTCTTGACATTCATGAAATAGTGGGGTATTAGTTTATTTGTAGAATATCACAAATACTACATTGATCTCTAAAATTTAAGAATGTTCCCAGAAATGTTCTATGCAGTTTACCACATTATCATCCCTGAAGAAAAATATTTCGCATCACAATTATAGTGTTCTCAGTCTACTTCCCATTTTAAAGCTACCCTGTAAGGTGAATGCATTTTATGATTCTTCATCCAGTGATAATCCCATACTCTTGTCTAATCTAGCCTGTTGAATATCTGTACCCAACATGTGTACAAGTGGTAAAGAATTTGCTGAATTTTAAGATAAATATTTCAAAATTCCAAAGGATATCTGTTATCTTTTTCTGGATAGCCAAATTCATCATTTTTTTCCCAAAGAGAAAAGAATTTAGATCTATTTTTCCAGAAATCAAATAGAAGTAAAGCATTTAAGAGCTGGACCAATTATTCTAAATTCATTTTCAAATACTTCTCTGCAAATTTTCTGCTAATGTTTAAAAAGTTGAATTCAATAAAGCAGAAGTAAATCATGGATCATTCAGCCAGGGTGTCTGTCAGTATTTTATGAAGAACTGACCCAAAGAGATGGAAGCGAAAGATCAGCTACACAACGACATGCAACCACTGAACCCATGGGTCTTTGGTAGCATGTAAGTAATTCAACAAAACAAAAAATATCCCAGTATGGACAAATGAGAAAATCTGTTTCGAGTCTCAAAGAGCTTTATTTAAGCAAACACTGGAGTTCAATTATTTATTATAAACAGTGATATTGTTGAGAGAATAAAACCTGTACACCTTGAACTGAATTTCTCAGAATATTCAGAGCTTTTCTCAGTACAGAAAGGCTGATTATAAACACCTATCTCCTAGACATTAGAAATTTGCTTCATTTGCAAGGTTACATCTTTATAAAAGTAAGGAGTGTAATACGCCCATGCTCATTTTTCCCTCACTCATTTATGTTTTGCTGTTACAGGGTCACTTTTTTCTACAATGTTTTTTTTTTATTCCATTATCCTTCAGAATAGCAGGTAAAATGATCACACTGAGGTACAGGTTATTGCCATCTGAGATCTTTATCTTGAATTTTCCTTGGTGTTCCTATTTCTCAAGTCGCCTTTTTGTGAGTTAACCATTTAAAGCCGCTTACTGTTGTATTCTAGGAGACAGGTTGAATGGGAGCCTGCCAGCAATTTGATTGAAGGGGTTTGTTTGACACTTCAGAGGCAGCCAATCATATCCTTCCTGCCTCATCTTAGGTCACTGATCAATGTCTGTGTCAATCTGGTGAGTAAATAAAATGGCAAACTCCTTCCCAATTGCCAAGCTCCCTTCTACAAACTCCCTGTTCAGCACTGCTAGAAAACATCCTTGAATAACATTAGACATAATGAAGTACATTTTCAAAGTGGTGCATGGGGAGAGAATGAAAAAGAAACCCATAGTCCAATGACTGGTTTTGGCTACTTTCCACGCACCACTCTGAAAATCCACTTCGGCATGTTGCGCTGAGAGTTGAGGGCTGCAAGTTGAAGAGTGGGGTGGTGGATACTGCACACGCCTGCATATACCTAGCAGAGGAATTGGAAAGAAGTGTGGGACCATGGAGACATTATTCAGCCTCACCTTGTAAAACTAATGCAAAAGAACATTAACTATTAACTCAACAAAATTGTTTTGCCATTTGTAACATTCATAGTTTAAAGAAAGTTTGGGATGTCTTTGTACGATGTTCAGATCCTTCTGTCTCTTTAACATGGATGTTTCTAGATTGCATTAAGGAGCCTCAGTTTGACCTGGTATGCCCTTGACATACATAAAGCTGCTATAATTACAGCTGACTTGAAAGACAATTCAACAATTGATAAATCCTTCACAGGTGTGATACCTCTTCAATTGAAAAAAAATGAAAGAAGCTAGAATACTTAATGTAACAAAAATGCCAATTAAATAGGAACTCAATGGAGAAAAATAATTGAGTTTTTATAAGGTTAAAATGAAAGCTAATAAATTAGAATAAGTTCCCTATATACCATGCTGGTTTAACTACTTGGCATTTTCATTTATCTTTTGAAATGATTTTGATTACAGTCTGGAGGATCGTAGAATGCAGGAAATTTAGGAAACTCAGCTGAAGTCAAACAAACAATAAAAACAAGATGTTGAATTATACTGACTTTTGGTCTGGTACACCAGGAGCTTTATTATACTCTGGGTCAAGAGTATACAACTTTCATCAGCTGAAGGACCATACTGAGATTTGTGGCACATGTCAGTAATTAAATTCAAGAACGGAATGTCCCAAGATCCAAGTTGGGGAGTCTTAGGGATGAAATGATGTTAAAAGGTACAAGTGTTGTTTCCCATTTTCAGCCTTAATTCGTCCAAGCTTCTAAATAAATCAGGTCAGCCTTTCCAAACCCACCCATTTTGAGATCTGCAAAAGGAGATGCTCATAAGCACATATCTATCTACTGTAAATAGCTTGAAAGTTATCACAACTTATCTGCCCACTGAAATAAGATTCTCCTTCAAATATGATTGCCCATATCCCTGTTAGTGTTTTGAAGACCTGATTCTTTGTCCAGGCCTTTAGAGAGTGTGATTAAAGACCTCTTTGTGTGGGCTTGTTATTTCTCCTGTCTACCTGGCCATCTTTTATCCCTATTCTTGTTTATTATTGTATTGTTTCATTTCTTCTTATATTGTTACTTATTGTTATTCTTTGCCCAGAATTGTTAGGGGGTTGGGCCAGTGGTGGGTTTCAAATAATTTCACCACCAGTTCACTGAAAATGTGAGCGTGCGTGTGCCCGGCTTCTGCGCATGCGCACGTGGCTTCCACCACACAGCGAGGTTTAACTAAACAGACTTTCAGGGCCCACCCTGGTCCCCTCCATCTCTGCTCTCCAGGGCAGCGACTGCTTCTCTCCGCACTGATGGGAGAGCATCTTGTGCAATTTAGCAGTTGTGGAAGAAATTAGTGCTTCAATACAAATGAGCACCTCCAAACAAATATTAATAATTAATCCAGCATTTAAAATTGACCAGAACAAGATGTTTGTGTAGCTGAGGTCTCGGGTGGGGGAGGTGTCAAAAAGTGCCCAGGATCGTGTAGTTGTGCCAAGATGATCATGTAACTGAAGTGGTGCCCATTTTTATCATATGTCATATGCATGTGATTCATGTAAAAAAAAAAAATCAGAACCCTTTATGCTGCCTTTACAACTTTTTGAATTCTCCTTCTACATGTTCAAGCCAAAAACTTAAGAAATCTGTAACAAATTATATAATTTGTCACTATCAAATTCCTGAAAAAAAATCCTATACTTACAGCAAGCAGTTAGGTCACAGTATAAGTTTCAATTGCTTTGAGTAACCGTTTCACCATTTGTTTTTGTTTCGAGAAGGCTTTGGTCATGGCCTGAAATTATACTTGGCATAAATTCTATGTTAAAATCTTAGATACAGGACATGCATTGAAATCCTTCCTCTATCCCCGTGCAACTTTAATCCTTATTCAAAAGAAGAATCTGAACATTATATGAACAATCATACAAGTGAGTCTGAATATTGTGTTAAACTCAATCTGGATCAGACTCAGGACATTACCCTGATATAAGGAGATAGTAACTCAAGTCAACTAGTACAATATTGATGATTTCAAGTACATGTTTCCATTGAGTACAGTAACTACATGGCATACCCTCCATCTTCACCTATTCTACCAGTACAGTGCTGGTTATTCAGGGCTAGTACTGGATACATTCTTAACTATGCTGATTTTCCTTGTGCCTTCCGTCCAGTCCTCCTGCTAATCCTGTAGTAGTGCCTTTTCCTTCCCATCCATCTCCTGCTAGAACCACTCCATTCCCTTTATGACCCCAGCTACCGCAAGGCATGTGGAGGGCCCTGAGCATCCCAGTCTTGCGCTATCTGAAGTATGTACCTCATTAACATTGGAGGGTATGGCATGGATGGAATTGAAATAGTTGGTCAAGGTGATGTGCTGTGTTTGTATTGCAGGTGATGGGAGTAGTAGGACCTTCCAGTGTGGCTGATGGATTACCCCTTCTTCATCTCAGCCCTTATCTCTCGCCACCTCTACCCTTCAGCACAGCTGTTGTCCGGCTTGTAGCATTGCAGATTCAGGTGTGACTGCCTTGCCTGTTAAACAGGCTTTGCTTCTTATGTGGTCGAGACACCAGTTCACTGGTGCTCTTTTGTTTTCTGCGAAAGCTGGGCAAAAACTGTGAGGCATAGTTCATACTTCCCCTTACTTAATGCTGAAATTTCGTAACATAGCATTTAGCAACCCTCCAAGTCTTTAGTGGGTGTCAATTTAGCATAATTTCATTGAGTCACATTGGAATTGTGCAGATTGAAGCCAACCAAAGATTTCACATGAGTGAAAACTATATTTCCTGACAATATAGACTAGCATTATTTATTTTTGCTTCTTAGATGAATAATAAGAGCTACAAAAGTGCTAAAGCAATAAGTCTTTTGTAGGTTATGAACTTGAAAGGCTAAAGATAATTTCATAGAAGTGCTTTATATGAATCTGAAGATCAGGTATTTTTACATTCTGCCTTTTGAATATTCTATATAATTTCAAGTTTGCATATCCATTTATTAATTCTAGAAGATATTGCTTATCAGTTTACTATCCCAGATTTCCAGAACTTAATTGACAGTTTCTCTCTCTCTCTCTCCTTCCCTCCATCTTTTACTCTTTCAATTACTTAAATATTAAATATTTATGTCATACAGATGAACATAATCTGGGAGTTACGTCTGTTAATGGTTTTAAAAATGGTTCATTATCAAGTATACTCTTAATAGCCTAAACTTTGTGGAGTAACCTGAGATGCTACACTGCATTGCTCCTACTTGGAAAATGCAAATTTTGTGCTTTGTTTGTGGGGAGGGGTTAGTTCTTCATTGATGCTAAAATGAGAAGGAAGAAGATGTGACATTTTTTTCCAGATGTAGGCTTTCTGTTCCGGTTCCATATCTGTCCAATCTTTGGCATTTGGCAGAATCAGGATCAAAACAAAATGATAGGTATGGTCTTCCAAATGTACATTTTCAGAGAGATATAGTGAATTCTTAAAAATGACTAAAATACTTTTCCTTGCATTTTTTCTAGATTTTTTTTTATTTCAGAACTTTTGGTTTGAGTTGACATAGGTAATTATCAGTATACTATCTGCATCATTGAGACTAAAACAAATAGGTCCCAAATGAGACCCAAATCTTGAATGTTTAATCAATTGATTATGTTGAAGCTAAAAATCAAATGTGGTGAACCTATCCTGTAATATATTGGGTGAACCAAGTACCTGTGGATCCATTTTTTTTTAAAAAAAATGCTGTTTTAATCTACCAGTTTTAATTAATATTTAATATTTTTATTATCACTGCACAGGCTTTAAAAGAAGATTTTCCCTTAAGCCATGTGATCTCCCCATTCACCAATCAGGAGAGAAGGGAAGGAATGCTTTTAAATCTACTGATTCCATTTGTGCTCACAGTAGGATCAGGAAGCAAAGGTCTGATTAACAGAAAGAATATTTTGTTTTCCCCTCCTGCCTGCCTCTCTGAAACAGCAATTGTGTGCATTGTTATACCTTCATGTTTTTTTGGGCACAAGCATTCTTTCTGGTGTATTGTCTGTAGCGTTCGTTGAGGACTTGGATGAGAACCTTGGTGTGTTGTAGTGTCCTTCTCTCATTTCAGCTGTGTTTTCTGAATTAAATCTTTGACAGAGGAACTCCCCTTTTTGAAATCACCACATGACAGAACAGGCCGGACAAAGCAAAAATTCACCTATATGTAAGAAAAAATGGGGACATACAAGAAAAACACACAGCTTCTATATAAGCTACTCTTCCTGTATGGTTTAAACTCTCTTATTTAAAATGTCTGCAGTACACCTGATTTTGTTCGAAAGGGTTCATTCATATTTTCTGGCTGGGCTCTGATCTGCCACCTGACAGTTTATGTGAGAGGGTACAGCTTAGTCCTTAGGGCTAAGGCCTGTATACATCTCTTTGGTTAGCAAGCCCAGAGAGAATATGGTAAAGTCCAGCATGAGCCTCAATTCTTAAAGAATCAAAACCGAATAGTGTAGGAATGAGAAGAAAGAGCATGACTCCTTTGTCCTGTCTTGTTGTGTTTGTTCTTGAATAACTTTGTCTTTTGCTTACAAAAGGAAAAGGTAGAGAAACTTCTTTTTTTTTTTAGCATATGGTATGTGTTAACCAGGGATCACTGAGGTGGCTGGCTGCCTCTGTGAAAGGAATTTTTTTGGGCGGTGTTATCTTTACCCGTGGGATGCCTGAATGCCGGTGGGCATTTGGGGGAGGCTCCCTTCTTGTCCCTATGCAGTTTATTCACTCACAGGAATCGAGCCGCCGACCTCAGTGGTGCGCAGACTCAGCATCTTACCATGTGAGCCACTGTGGCCCCAGTAGGGGCCCCAGTAGTGAAACCACATGATGGCACTCAGTATGGAAACTGATTGTGATTTACAGAACATTTATGTGTCATCATGTGGTGTTTGAATCTTTTATAGGAATCAACGCCTGATCTGCTCTTTGTCTTTTCCTTTTGATATCATGCAGACAGCCCTTGGCTGGAGCAGCCTGAAGTTCTCCTGCTGCTCCAGACAGTCATTAACATTTTACTGCCACCTCGCATTATTAGCACTTCACGTAGTAAGAACTTCATGCTGGAGAGCTCCCCTGCCCACTGCTCCACTCCAGGGGATGCAGGAAAGGACCTGCGTAAGGAAGGGCTAGCTGAATCCACTAGTCAAGCAGCCTACTTGGGTGAGTGAGCATTTCTATCTGCAATGAAAATTGAGATCAAGCTGATCGGATGACAATGTTTTCCTCCCCAAAATAGTATTTTCCAAATCTTGAATGTGCAAGTATGCATGGGTTGTTATTACGAAACTGTTGTTTAATTTTTCGGATTTATTTGTCTCCTTTTTTTTAGCTTTGAAGGTGATCCTTGTTTGTTTTGAGCGACAGCTTGGTAGCCAATGGTATTGGCTGAGTCTGCAAGTCAAAGAAATGGCTTTACGAAAAGTTGGAGGGCTGGCCCTATGGGATTTTCTGGATTTTATTGTACGCACTCGAATTCCTATTTTTGTACTTCTTCGACCCTTTATCCAATGCAAGGTAATTTACTATGATATTAGTCATAATTTCTTTTTGAAATGATATTGCAAACAGGATTTATTATTGTTCTGATAGGGACAAGACATTTCTTTGCAATAAGGTGGTTTTGCTAGTAGGAGCAATACCCCTCAAATCCAGAAATTCAGTTTCAAAAGTATTGGTTTGCAAATTAGTATGCCTGATTCACTTTGGGTTTATAAAAGATAGGCCTCATGATAATGGCTGAGAATAGTTGTTTTGTATGTGCATTAATAGCAAGTAAAATTTCGCAGTCTTCATGGCTGTCTCCTGTCATTGTTATCCTCAGTTGCTAGCCCAGCCAGCTGAGAATCATGAGGAGCTGACTGCCCAACAACACATTGCTGACCAGCTGGAGCGTCGCTTCATCCCCCGCCCTCTCTGTAAGAGCTCTCTCATTGCAGAATTCAATAATGAACTGAAGATCCTCAAGGAGGCTGTGCATAGTGGATCAGGTGAGGACACTGGTGGGAAAGGGAGGCTGAAAGGGGAGGGAACAGGGAAGGTTTGATCAGAAAAGAACATCAATGCCAGCATCACACCAAACCCTAAGTGTTTTTTCTTCTCATCAAACTCATATTATAGAATGAGAAATCTGAATTTTGATAAATAATGTAGGAATCCTCGTTCAAAATTATAAGCAGTTGTAAACTTGAATTGTGATAGTGATTGAAAGATTATTTAGTAAAAAGTAAGTAGTAGCAAATTACAAACTAATTACATCCACAGCATACAAGGAAAATCAATACAAAATGTTCTACAGATGGCACCTTCCTCCTGCTAGATTGGCGGGAGGAAGGTGTTTAACTCAGATCCAAATTGTTGGAAATGTGGAAAAGAAAAAGGCATTTATTTTCGTACCTGGTGGACATGCCAGGAAGTGAAAAAATATTGGAATACAATTAGGCAATGGATAGAATAAATCATGAATCAGAAAATTGAATTTAATCTGGATTAAATTCTGGATTAAATTAGGTATAATAACACAAAATTGCAATAAAATAGATATATTATGTTACATATATTAACAGTTGCAAGGATTTCGTACACACAACTCTGGAAGGAAAAAAGGGTTCCACTGGAAGGCATGGTTATAAAAAAAATAATAGATTATACAATGGACAGATGATAGATTATAGATTATACAATGGACAGATGATAGATTATAGATTATACAATGGACAGATGGACAGGCTAATGATGAAAATAAAAGACAGAGAAGTTTCAATTTATTGTAGGGCCTGGTATGCCTGGTATGAATGGTTTAGAAATAAAAAGAAAATAAAATGACATTTAGGAAAAGAATGAGGGAATATGTAAATATACCATGGAGAAGATTGAGATGTAAGGATAAAAGATATTGATTTATAGTAAGAGTAAGATGTAATGGTAAAGGAATAAGTAAATACATATACTGAAAAATGTGAGGAGATGCAAAAGATGTCATGATGTTGATAACAATGTATAAAGTTTTATTTTATATTTTTAAAATTTGGAAACTTAATAAAATTTATTTTTTAAAAAAGAAAGATTATTTACTAAAAAGTGGAGTTTAATTTATGATCCTGGGAGAAAAATGTGTGATGGTTACTAGTGGTTATTATTTCCAATGAGGCATTCTTAAGGATGGTGAGATTTTTTTGCTATCTCATAGGAGCATGAAATTAAACTAAGTACATTTCAAAAGAAAGCTGCTCCTTTCTTTATCTTTATTACTGTTATTCCTTCACACTCTTCAATTGATGGGTTGGAATCATATGCCTTTTCTTTTGCTTTGATAACATTATTCCACTAGCATGATCGTCATTCATGTTTTAGCTTACCAAGGGAAGACCTCCATCAGCACCGTGGGAACCTCCACCTCTGCTTATCGACTGAGTCTTGCCACTATGTCCCGCTCCAATACTGGCACTGGAACTGTTTGGGAACAGGATAGTGAGCCTTCTCAGCAAGCCTCTCAGGATACTTTAAGCAGGACAGATGAAGAAGACGAGGAAAGTAAGTATTCGCTAACTTAGGCATGATTTTATTTATTTAGTTAATTTCTGTAGTTACCCATTTCAGTCCAGTTGACTCTGATAGGTAGTTATCAACTTACAATCATTTGTTTAACAACAATTCAGTTACAATAGCCTTGAAAAAAGTAAGAGTTATGATCTATACTCGCTCTTACAATCATCCCACCACTCTCATGCAATCATGTGATGATTGGCACATTTATGGCTGGCTGCTATGTCTGCAGCCACATGATTGTCATCTGTGACCTTTTGTGCCAATTTCCACCAAAAAATACCCATTAGGGAAGCCTTAATGATCATGTAATTTTTTTAACAACCATGGTTAAACAACCATTATAAAAATTGTTTTAAAATTGGGTCAGACTCAACTTACAACAGAAATTCCTGTCCCAATTATGGTTCCCCCCCCCAATAAGTTTTTTATTTTTCAGTATTTTGTGGACATTGCATTGACTGGGTCACATATTTTTTAAGCAACAGTAACAATAAAATAGCTATGTGTAATTCTAATCTTCCAACTTGTACAACTTCAACAATGCTAGTCACTTTTCATAATCCATTTCTCATTTCCCCACTAATTCATTTAAACATAAATAACATTTCTTTGTGCCCTGTATTTATAGTCCCTAAATACTATTATTTAATATTTTTGAGAATTATTCATATTTCCACCATAACTTCAAATATTAACAATATTTAATCAATCCTGGAAGTGTATCTCAAAATTCCACACAATTGTCTCGTAGGATATTCTGTTGAATGACATTAATAATCCAAGTCCAAGTCCAAATTAACCCAATAGTCCAAGTCCAAATTAATCCACTAGATTCCTCTAGTCTTTCAAATCCACAATCCAATAGCCAAATTTAATTAAGTTTAGTTATTTGCAAATTAGTTCCTTTTATAAATCTTCCAAAGGGCAAGAAAAAAAAGGCTCAGTAAATGTTCTCAAATTATCCAAGTTGTCAACAGTAGAGTCAAAGTCAGGCCATCCTCCAGATGTTATTGGTTCTATTCTGTGTATTAGGCTTTGTGTGTGTTGAAATAACTTTCATTAAGTATGTTGCAGCTTCTTCCAGTAGATGGCTCTCTTATCCTAAATCCAATGTTAAATAGTCTGTCAAAAATAGTTGATTTCTGATTAAATCCAGGGGGTTTAAAAATACAAATAAACCAGATAATTTCTCCCAGAAATTGCTTTTCAAATTATTTGAGCTTTTTCCAAGCTTTCTATATTTTATTAGCTTCTCTTGGGCTTCTTTCACCTCTTTGTTCTCATTTTTTTTTCTCCGTGTGTCAATTCACTGCTATCTTAAGCTTGGGAGTGATCTTTTAATATTCTTATAGTTATTTCAAATCTTTAGAGTAGAAATTGGTAATTATCTCACCCAGTTTCAATGCGATGTCCATACACTGCTCCAGCACAAATGTTGTGGTCCCAGTTGTCCCAGCTTCATGACTACCAAAAAATGGCTGTTGTCCCTGCTGCCATTCAGGGAGAGCTTGCTTCGGACCTAATGAGGAAATTACAGGTTCCTCGTGGTCAGCGAAGTGGCTCTCCTTCCTTCACTGCCCCCCCACGACGACTATGACCCCATATGGTCTCCTGACAGCGGTTACCAGCTGGATTTTGTGGGGCTCAGCAGAGCCCACTATTTTCCAGCCGTTCTCACCACGACGTCAACTGAAAGCTCTCAATTATGGTCTTAAATTGAAGATTACCTGTAGTGCACATTTGGCCTTGCAATTCAGCCTCCTACTCAGTTAGGAATTTTTATGCGTAGCTGGAGTGTTCCTCTCTGGGGAACAGACTTGGCAGCAGACTTCCTGCTTATTTTTCTTTGGATAGAACTTTTCTCACCATTGGGCTCCTGTGAATCTAGCTAAAAGAAAAGATGCCAGGACATTAAGACCCAGGATGGCAGAAATCAAAGGAGTTCTCCTCTTTTCCTTAAATCAAACCCCGACACTTCATTCTTTAGGTGACTAGCCCAAGTAAGTGTTTATCCACATACAAGTAGTCCTTGACTTATGATCACAATTGAGCCCAACATTTCTGTTCCAAAGTGAGACATTTGTTATGTAAATTTTGCCCCATTTTATGACCTTTATGGCCACAGTTGTTAAGTGAATCATTGCAGGTGTTAAATTAGTAACAGGGTTGTTAAGTGAACCTGGCTTCCCCATTGATTTTGCTTGTCGGAAGGTCACAAAAGGGGATCACACGACCCCAGGACATTGAAATGGTCATAAATATGAGTCAGTTCCCAAGCATCTGAATTATGATCACATGACCATGAGGATGCCGCAACAGTTATAAGTGTGAAAAATGATCATAAATCACACACACATCTGCCAAAGCTGGCAGGGCAAGCCTCTATAAACAGGGTGCAGACATTACACTCACTTACATTGATTATGTTTCTTAGTTGGAAAATAAAACACCTGCAAACAACCAAACAAGCTAAGCCCACATGCTAAATAAATGACAGGTTATAATGGCAAGAGAGATGGAGAGTCCCTCTTGAGTCTTGGCAGCCATGACAGGCCTGGCATTGCTAGCCAAAGAAATACCTACAGAAGAAGTTTTCATCCCGACAGGCTGATCCTTGAAGGACTTTCATTCTTCCTTCTGTACAGGCTGTCTTAACACACGGGCCTGATGGGCACTTGCCTGTGAGGCCCACGAGCATAGGGGCCCCATACTAATCTTTGTATGTTAACCCTTCAATGCACCTTGTATCATATGAATACAGCAACTGTATGGCTTACTGAATATTATTTTATAGTGTTTTTCAAGTCTCATGTATTGTTCAAATGTTTATCATGTTGATTAGTTGTTGCTGCACAGCATGTTTTTAATGTTTCAACACAGATTTTGTTAGAAGTGCCAATAGAATAAATATATGTTTAATTTTATGGACCATTTACATTTTTATTCCTGAGAGAAGTTGTTGTAGGGGGCCCAATACACTGCTTTGCCCAGGGCCCATAATACTGTTAAGACAGCTCTGCTTCTGTATTCTTTTCAGATGATTCAGTAAGCATGCCCAGTGTGGTAAGTGAACAGGAAGCATACCTTATGGGTACCATAGGGAGGAGGCGATTCTCCAGCCATCTCTCCAGCATATCTGCACCTCAGCCTGAAGTGGGGATGTTACCCAGTCAAAGGTAATGTGGGAATGGCCTACTTTTCATTTCCTGATATTTTTCCCAAGAACAGAAATTACAAAAGTGTAATATAGCTTGCAAGTCAGAGATGTTGGGGTGAAGACCAGACAAAATAAAGCAGACCCAGTCCTGGCTTTTAACGAGGGTTTGCAAAAGAGATATATTTAGTTATCATTCCCCCAGAAATGGAGGAATACAGGAATAGTTATTCACAAACTAGTAAAGCAACAGCTTTGGATTGCAATGATTTATATTCACAATCATTTTGCAAGTATTAGAGATCCCTGTAACACCCCGCCCCCCCAACTTAATTAAGATAACTAACTGACATGGATTTAAACTGGTGATATATCCCTAACAGTGCTTGGGTAGATTTTTCTTAGATAGTTCTGAACAGTGAAAACACAATACAGGAGATGAAACTTTATAAAACTAGGCTATCAATTGGAAAACAAATTGGTCTGAATTCACTCTGTAGGCTCTCATGATTGCTTTTCTCATTGCTTAAAAACAATTTTATTAGAATTTTAAAAATATCACAGAAGAGCCAAATATCTTCTGTGGCTCATCTCCTTTGGAAACAGATATGGCTGTTTTAATTCCTCACAGAAAGCTGCTCGTTGCATTCTGCAGGCCCTCTTCCAGGTCAAATCTACTACGCTGCTAGCAGTTGTCAGTCTGTTTCAAATAATTTTGGCTTTAATACAAAAGAAATCACGTTTATCTTGCCTTTAATATTTTAAAAAATCAGTAAAGTTCTGCTATATATTCTACTTATAAGCTGAAAAAACATTTTTCTGATTGTATTTGGGAGGGGGAATCATTAGAATTACAAGGATTTATCAGTTTAATTAATTTTTGATTCCCAACAACTGAGAAGTGAAACAGATAAGGTTTGAACATTTTTTGAGTGAAGTCCTGTTTATATAGCTGGATGTCTCGAAGATCCCATCATCACAAGAAAGCATAGACTTGCTGAGGATATTTTAATTATCTTTCCAAATATACAGTTGGGAGATCAGAGGATTGGAAGTTCTTCTACGTCCTAGGGTTGGATAAATGTCATACTCCATATATCCTCTCCAAATAAGGCTTTTTGGCATCTCCCACCTCAATAATTAAGTTCAATGGCTGGGAAGTAGAGGAAATTGGAAAGCTCAAAATGCCTGTTTATGGCTACGAAAAGAAAGATGGTTTACTACTATGAATTGTATTTTTCACTGAGACTAGATGGAAGTTAGTCTCCAAATATATTGTATAAATGTGGAGATTCATTGCATCACATCTTCTCTATGCAGGAAGCTCTTTAGACTGGAGGAAAATTCGTCTTTCAGTTTTTTATTTGCTTCTCTTCAGTGAATTAGTGTTGAGGCCAATTTGCTCTCCTTTATTTTCTCTGCTATCCTTCTGATACTTATTTTCTTTGAACACAGAGACAATTGCATGCTTTAAAAACATATTTTCTTCCTTAAATGCTTCACCTCCTTGCCCATCCTGCAGTGAACCCAATGTCCTCGATGACTCCCAGGGCCTGGCCGCTGAGGGCAGCCTCTCTAGGTACCGTGTTTACCCTACTGTATGTCAGTGTCTGTGCTGGGAACAGTCTGCTCCCTATCTTCACTGTCTTTCTTCCATCCCGATTCTCTTTTCCTCCATTTCAGTTTCTTGTTCTTCACGGATGGTTAGGCCTGCAAGACAAAGGTGTAGCAACCTGAGCAAGCTGTAAGCTCTGGCTCCATCAACCTCTATTGGCAAAATAGAATTCAAAAAGCGGTGTGGAGCAAAGCTGCCAAACCATCTAGTTTATCTGTTGGAGCAGTTCTTTTCTTGTCTCATTCCCATTGTATTTTTGACCATAGGAATATATGAAACATTTATCACCCATTACTAACAAATATATTTCAGGTACATGGTGGAGACTTTTAAAAATAAAGATGCTTTCAATTTGTTCATACTATTAACTAGTATGTTAATCTTGTATACGCATTAGGTTAGTGTCCATATAGATTAATCATAACAATATGGCTGTGCAGAGTTAGCAGCTTGTGCTTGTCAGAATTACATTAGCTCTTTTTGTAAATGGCTTGATTACAATGCTGTTTTATACTACAGCTAGTCCTCAACCCACCACCAATTCCACCAGTCCTATTTTGGGTTTACTTACTTACAACCCAGATTCAAAGTTCTAACAGTTGGCCACCCACAGTAACATGATTAAGCTTCAGACATTTGGCAATGTGGCCCATTTACAGCCATTTGCAAAGTCCCACGGACCCATAACCAATGTTAGGACAATTCTGCCAAAAACTGCCATTTACTTCCAGTTTTCAACAAAATCACACCCATAGCAAACCATTGTTTCACTTAACAACCATACTGTTTGCTTAACTGTGGTGTTCACTTAATGACTGTCATGACTTACGACCATGACAGGCAGACTCCATCATAGTCGTAAATTGAGGACTACCTGTATGAAAGTGGATTATCTGGATTTTACTTTCACCTTCTAAAGCAGGCAACTATTTATTCTCAAGAAAGTGAAGGGGGGAAAAAAACCCAAGAAGAACCTTGTTTTCAGCTCTTGTTCCTTTTTGTGTATGCCTGTAATAGTTATAAATGTAATGCTTCTGGTTACTAAAGAGAGATTGCAGAAATAAGTGGATGTAATTGGTTAGTGTAATATCCTTATTGTGATTACAGCTTCAAGCATTAATCAAACCTTAACCCATTTCCCCAGCAAAAAAAAAGAACATGTTCTCTTGAAATCTGACATCTGGCAATGTTTTTCTTAAAATTAAAAACCCATTATAAAAAATTGTATCTGTTGTGTGAAGACTGCTCCTTCTTTAATACTTGGTCAGTCAGGCAATAAATTAAATAAATAAATTAAATAAATTAAATAAAGTAAATTACTTCTTTGCTTTAATTTATCATTGTTTTCAGATATTAAAAACAGGAGATTACATATCATTGGGTTTGCCACATCAATTATTCTCATAATTCACAAAGATCAATGTATTTATGTTAATTTGCCCTAGCCACATGAATCAATCTTATGGTCATGATGTGAAAACATATGTTGGAGAAAAAATATACTTTTATGTATAGAAAGTAGGAATTTAAAACATGAATCAAACATCCTGATGTGTCTGAACATGTATTAAATGAAAAAAATGAAATAAAATAAACTTATCTGAAGCCTCATTGACTTCAGTAGCATAACTTTCTGGACAGATATATAGGGTGTTCCAGAAATAATACAGCTGTCAAAATTTGGGAATAAATCTGAATATTTTTTTAAATTAGTAACTTTGTGCAGGAGATTATGATAATGAATTTATTTACTCTGTAACTACTATATTATTTCTGTGAAATCCAATGGATAGGATTGCATTTGAAGGATTTTTTTCCAAAGGCAACTTAACTCAAAATAAATATAAACCACATTTTCTATATGGTGAACAACATGCATAGGATTAATTAGAATGGATTTTTTTTTAACCATCAAGCAATAGTTGGCATTGTATAGATGATCAATTAATAAAAAGTACTTAGAACTTATAAATTAGTAATATTTCATTGTGTTATTAAATCAGTATGCTTAGGAATAGTACCCCCACTTATATGGAAGGTAACTACTAGGATGCTTATGTTTACATTCCATCTTTAAATTTTTAAAATGAAATAAACAACCTGATGAGAATTTTAAAACATTAATATTGAAATATTAAATGAAAGAGAGCAACAGATGACAAAAAGTATTAAAAATTGTCACCTGAATTTGGGTAGAATTAGCTGTGGGAATTTTTTTCTAGACAAAAATCTATTTTCTCCAAACTTGTTTGAAAGTTGATAATACTAGTAAAATTTAAAAGACAATATAGAGGGCCCTATATTGGATTGGCTTATGTATGGAGCAGCCCCTAAGGATATATTCAACTCAGCATCTTTGTTTTATTGTTATTCTTAGCATCATTTATTATACCATTATCTGCTTAAATTCAATTTCAAAACAAAACAAAGTAATGGCTTGCAAAGACCACAGTGACTAAACCTGAATAAGTATCTGAAGGTATGATTCTACTATATAACACTAGCTAGCTCGATAATCCTCTATAAGTATAGTTGTAACTGCTCTCTTACAAAGAAGTTGTCTTCCTCAGAAACTTAAGCTGGGGAAAATACTAAATGACAGTCATTTGCACTGTGTAATCATAAATATTAAGGAGTTGTTAGTTCAGTTAAGATGTTAATAGAGTGAAACAGGAGCAATTTTCCACTATTCATAGCTGGTTTTCAGGTTCAGCACTGGTGTAGAAAAAGGACCATACCACTTAGCTAGTTTATGTATTAAATTCTTTGCATTTCAAGTTTATTTAAATCCGGACAATTAATCAGACATAACAATATCAATATGTGCCCCATCTTTTTCCCATTTCCACCACCTTTGGAATTGCAGGCAGTACTGGTATTAGTCAGGAGAGCAAACTATTTATTTATTTATTTAATTTATATTGCCGCCTATTTGCCCGTGGCAACTTGAGGTGGCTTACACAATGTAAAACCTTATTTAAAACAAAAAATAAAAAACAATAAAATAACAAAAAGAATCAAATAAATTAATAAAATCTTGGAAAAATAATAATAATAATAAAATAAATAAATAATCCCCACCCCCCAACTCTCACCCCCCACCCCAACAAAAGCAGATCACACTAGCCATTTGATGGGTTCCATCCCGCTCTGGGTTCCCCAGGCCGGCTGGCAGAACCAGGTCTTCAGTGCCTTCTGAAAGAGTGCTAGAGTGGGGGGGGCATTCTAATCTCTGGGGGAATGATATTCCAGAAAGAGGGAGCCACCATGGAGAAGGCCCTTCTTCTAGGTTCCACCAGGTATATCTCCCTCAGGGATGGGACCTGCAACATTCCCTGCCTTCCCGCTCTAATGGGTCGGATAGATGTGACCAGCAAAAGACATTCCCTCAGATGACCCAGTCCCAAGCCATGAAGGGCTTTAAAGGTGACAACCAGCACCTTGAATTGCACCCGGAAGCAAATCGGCAACCAATTTAGCTCCTGCAGGAGAGGTGACACATGTGCATACCAGGGTCTGCACAAAGCCATGTGGGCTGCTGCATTTTGCACCAATTGGAGCTTCTGGATGCTTTTCAAGGACAGCCCCATGTAGAGCACGTTGCAATAATCAAGGTGGGAAGTGACTAGGGCATGAGTGATTGTGTGTAGGGACCATTGGTCCAGGAAAGAGCGTAACTGATGCACAACCCACAGTTGTACAAAGGCCCTCCTGGCCATGACCGCCACCTGCTCTTCAAGTTCAGGAAAACCCCTAGATTATGCACAGGGTCTGCTGGGGTAGTGCCACCCCATCCAAGACCAAAGGTGACAATTCTCCCTGAGCCAACGAACCCCAAACCCAGAGCCACTTGGTCTTGCAAGAGCTTAATTTCAATCCATTGCTCCCCATCCAGCCCCTAACAGCATCCAGGCACTGCAAGAAAGAGGACACAGCAACACTTAACTCACCAAGGGCCGAGACATACAGCTGAATATCATCAGCATATTGGTGATACTTCAGTACATGGTGACAGATGATCTCACCCAGCGGTTTCATATAAATGTTGAACAGGAGCAGAGAGAGTACCGAGCCCTGTGGAACCCTGTAAAGCAGTGGGTGGGGGCTGGATCTCTCCCCTCCTGTCAACACTGACTGAGAGTGGCTGCAGAGGAAGGAAATGAACCAAGACAGCACAAGGCCTCTCACTCCCATCCCCTGAAGACACCCCAAGAGAATCCCATGGTCAATGGTATCAAAAGCCACCAAGAGGTCAAGTAGAGCAAGGTTGGATGCACTATCCCCATCCCGCTCCCTCCAGAGATCATCCAAAAGTGCGACCAATGCCGTTTCTGTCCCAAATCCAGGCCTGAATCCTGACTGGTAGGGGTTGAGATAATCCATTTCATCCAGAAACCACTGGAGCTCTGCATGACCACCTTCTCAACAACCTTCCTCAAAAAGGAAAGATTGGAGACAGGTCGGAAATTATCCAACTGGGTAGAGTCCAGCGATGGTTTCTTAAGAAGAGGGCAGACCACAGTCTCCTTAAAGTGCTGGGGCACCGTCCCCTCCTGTAGAGAAGCATTAATCACCACCAGAATCCACCCACCTGTCATCTCCTGAGAAGCTTTCACAAGCCAGGAGGGACATGGGTCTAAAACATAGGTGCTTGTGCGCATACTTCCTAGGATCCTGTCCACTTCCTCAGGAGGAACAGGGTCAAACCGTTCCCAGATAACAGGGCAAGAACTTGCCTCAGGAGCTTCCACCAGACCAGCAACCGCGCCGGCATCTAACTGGGAACGAAGTGGAGTGATTTTGTCTTCCAGAAAATCCGCAAATTCCTCAACGCACCCCTTCAGGTGGACAATCTCTTCCTTCCCTAGGAGGAGACGGCTCACCTTAAAGAGGGTCACTGGGTGATTATCTGTAGACATTGCTTACTTGATTGTTGGTCTGAAGTTGACCTTGGAGTTAATCTA